AGTTACAAAGGTAAAAGAATCATGTTACTTTTTATATTCTAATTTATTTATAATAGATTTTTCCTCTTCCAGCGTGTTTCAACTCGCAACAGATTTCTATATCTTATAAAATTGGGACAGTACAAGGAATCCCACTTCACTATTACAACAAGAGTTTGCTCGTTGGTAACGCAAAGGACCTTCGGTTTGCTTTTGGACGATTGTTTATGTTTAGTAAATAATTAAAGATTCCTATCATTGTAGGTTATGAATGGAACAATTCGTCTCACGGTATAAAAGAATAGAATAATTTGTCTCAGACTTCAGGGACAAATGAAAATGATATCGTCAAGCATATGCCTAACTTATATAATTACATATATGTCAAAAACTTTCATAGGTTTTCAAGAGTATGCATAAAATTAAGAGACACTCTTCAGAATTTAAAGAGGTTAAGTAGTTACTACCTTTAATTTTAAATATAAGATCTAGTTTATGATGCAACTCAATAGAACTGAAGATAGTGGAGTAGATGGATTGCTTTTAATTTGTCTTACTTGATGTCTCAGGAATCGATCTAAAGAGTCAACTTTACAACATATCGCTTCCTTCCAGTGTACGTAGTAGTAAATGGATCCATACATAGTTTGCTTGATCTGACTAACACTTAGTAAACAACGTAATCATTTTGACATAAATAAGGTTTAGACCTGCAAGTATTCCATCGAACACTCTGCTAACTCATCCAACACAGGGCGCAGAGCTTATTGTCTTCACCAAATCCACTCTTTCACTCTTGACCTCCCAAACGACGTGGTTGTGCAACAAGGAAGCTCCTCCTCCGACCTCATCAGAGCTACAAGATTATCTTCTTCGAGAGTGATGATAAAGGCTTCATCAGCTTCTCAGCTTGACTATGAAAAGTTTATTATTATTCACGTACGTTTCATTTTCTCGATACTACTAGTTTTTTGTGAACATGTGGCCCATTTCATTTCGATTTAGTGTACAATACGTGTATTTTGAGTATCCAGAATCTTTCGATCGTCAAGTCCTTGTCAATTATGTACCCATTCTTTTTGATGAATGTAAGGGATGGGGAATTAGATAAGCAACAAGAAATTATATTCTTTTGCTACAACTTCATATTATAGATCCCAAATCTATAGATCGCCAACTAAACAAGACGCATATAAGAACAAATTCCAAAACGAACTTGCACTGAGCAAAAACAAATTACGACTTTACTTTATGCAAAACACAACGCCTGGAATGGCAGAACGGTATTTTAAATTTGACCCAAACTCTCGTCTATTTAATTATGCCTCCGTTGAGTCAGTTGGATTTCCCGGCCATTGTTAATAACTTTCTTGAATGATTTTCAGAATCCATGAACGATATATCTCGCCCTGTAAGATACAACAGTTAAAGAATAGTCTGGTCATTCTTCGCTAAACTACAGCATTCATGTGCAACGCATGTTTCTTCCTTTGCTGGCGAAAGGATATACCCATTCTTTGTCCTTTGCTTAGCTTTTTTTCTTCATAAAGATTTGTGCTTTGCTTCTAATATTTAGGAAAGAATAAAAACCATATTGACATAAATATATATATGTATAAGGGTGATGAAATCAGAAACTGAAACTCAGTATTTCGATTCAATACCCTTAAAAATGGCTTTCTCTGCAGTTTTCTGTCCTTCATGCACCCCAAAAACACAGAGCAGCTTATTGTCTTCAACAAACTCTCCGTCTCTTTGCTCAACGACGTCGTTTCTGTCGCTACCCCAGGCAGCACGGAAATTGCTTTTCCAGCCCCTGAGGCACAAAAGGGTTTCCCCGATCGAGGTTAACACCAAGAGGTCTTTTGGCAAAGTGAAGGCCTCAAAACAGAGCTTCGAGAACGTGGAAGTATTCTCCAAGGAGCATCTTGCTGTGACTTTGGCCCATGATGTTTCCGAACTCTCTAAGAAATTTGCAGAAGAGAGGGGGGCTTTCACCGTTGTTTTGTCTGGTGGATCTTCTGTCAAGTACCTCAGGTGAACACTTTTTTGGACTGAGAGCCACTCGACTTATATACTCCTCGTGTGGTGAGAAAGTTTGATAATTTTTTTCTTTCTGGGTTTGATGAATTCTCAGGAAATTAGCTGAAGATCCATATGTTGGTTCTGTTGATTGGTCTAAGTGGCATGTTTTTTTAGCGGATGAACGAGCCGTACCAAAGAATCACCTGGAAAGTAACTACAAGCTCGTTCACGATAGATTTCTCTCCAGGGTATATATGTTCCCTACAAAATTCATGTGTATCTATTATATATGACTTCATGTCTGTGCACACATTGCCGTGTTCTATATTATTGCCCGACAAATTTTACTGTAAGTCTGATTTGGTTTTTAACGTTGTTGGGGAGGTGCGAATTCCTGATTCCAATATACATGCCGCTGATGATACTCAACCAGCTGATAAAGCAGCCGAAGCTTACGCGGAAACTGTGAGAAGCTTGGTTGAGAGCAGAGTGATAGCTTCATCATCCACTGGGCTTCCAAAATTTGACTTGATGCTGCTGGATATGGGTCCTGATGGCCACGTGGCTTCTCTGTTCTCAGGTCATCCTCTTCTGCAGGAAAATCAGAAATGGGTTTCCTTCCTAAGGGACTCACCAATTCCACCGGCAGAGAGAATCACTTTTACGTTGCCTGTGATTAATGCTTCTTCCCGCATAGCAATTGTGGTCTCGGGGGCTGGGAAAGCAAACACAGTTGAGTCTGTATTGGAAGATGATCAGAAAGGTTACAAGCTTCCTGTTGAATTGGTATCCCCTGTTGATGGCCAATTGAAGTGGTACTTGGACAAAGGTGCCGCTTCTAAGCTATTTAACCTGCGCGTGTAGAGCAACTATATTAGTCTCTCTGGTTTTTATGTGAAGCTCTGATTAGCAGTGCTTTTGTCTGGCACCTCTCAGTTAAATGTACAAGGGAAGGATGGAATGTAAAAGCCTAGTTCTTTGAGATATGAACTCGAACCAGTCTTACTATAAACTCTAGAAACAATTATTAGTATTTTATGAACTAGAACAGGTCTTATTATAAATTAAATATGAAGTGCGCGGTTTATACCACTCTTCCGGTCTTTAATATAAAACCCATTTAACTAATTTGATTAGATTAAGAAAGTTAGGTAAGTTAGTTAATTGTAAGAAATATGACATATTTTTCCTAAAACACCGTAATCATCTTTCTTAATACCTCTCTCCCTCTTCTACTTGATTATGGTTGAGGGAGTATATATATGGGTAATTTAGAGAAAATTGATAAATATGAGAAATGGACCTTATATTTAGAACCAAAACTAACTCAATAATTAGGTCTTATATTAAGGACCAGAAGAGTATTTCGCTAAAACTATCTAGGTGTTGTCATTAAAGTAATTTATATTAGTTATACAAAAAGTTTTACTTTAATCTTAAACATAAGCATTAATTTAATTTGTCTCCCATCCAAAATATCGCTATTTATTATACATAGTAGGGATTTTCTTTCTTATCAAACTCTTGTATAAAGATGGGAGGAAATTTAAAAAATAATATACAAAAACATATTTCATCTTGGCACCGTCAAATTGTATTATAATATGCTTCAGTTTTCCATTAAAAAATTAAGCTTCCTACAAAAAACAAAACAGAAAATAGTAATCAAATGGGAACAATATGTTGCCCGTAAAATTGGAGCTTGTAAACCTGGGGGGTGTGGTTGAGCGGTGGGGGCTCATCCTCCCTCAACCAAGTGTCGAGGGTTCGATTCTTATCTTAGGCATGGAAAAACTTTAAAACCTCAGGCCAGCTGTCCCACCCATCGAGGTGCCTACAAGCCAGCAAAGGGATTAGTCACCGGGTCTGCCGGTGGATACCCTGATGTTTCATCAAAAAAAAAAAATGGAGCTTGTAACTAGGGGTGGAAACAGGCCAGGCCTGTGGTGAGGCATGTTGGCCTGAGCCTGGCCTACGGCCTGTGAAAGGCCTTTTAATCGGCCTAAGCCTGGCCTGTGGCCTGTTAAGAGGCCTGTTTTTTTAATAAATTTTAAACACACATAAATCAATTCAAAATTATAATAATTCAACCTAATTGATCTAAAATACAAACAAAAAATATGAAATTATCAAATTAACACAATTTGCAAAATATGTCCCCTTAGGCCCAAAAAAAATCTAATATGAAAAATTATTAGAAAACATAATTTCATTCTGATATAAAAATATCACTTCATCCTATCTCTAATATAAAAATTAGTTGATGACTAGATCTAGTTTAAAATATGAAACATCTTTAATCCCTTTTATATTTTAAATTTATCATTTATTCAGACTAATTTACTAACAAATTGATATTTGATCTTATTGTTACACATGGTTTTTTTTTTTAAAAAAAATATTACAGTTATTATAATTTATTTATTTATTTAAATTAATTAAGTAACTATTATAATAAGAATTAGATTGAGCACACATATACACGGTCTAAAACATAATAGGTCAATTCTCTCTCTCTCTCTATATATATATATTCTATAAGCATGGATCAAATAAATGAATGATGCTTTTTTTTTAAATGCACTTATGTTTTCTTTCTCTGTTTAAATATGTGTCATTATACATATATCAATTATTTTTATTATAGAGAATGGAAATGAAATGACGCATGCAATAGGCTTTAGATAACACGTTTATGTGGATGTAGTTTTCTCAATTAATCAATTAGAATAACAAAATCCCTCCTATCAATTTATAATTTTAACATAAAAAAAAAAAAAGATAACAGGCCCAGGCCGCCTGACAGGCCTCACAGGTTTACTGTCAGGCCTGAGCCTGGCCTGATAAAGCAAACAGGCCTTTTTACAGGCCTAAGTCTGGTCTAATATCTAAAGGTCAAACTAGACCAGGCCATTTACAGACCAGGCCACAAGCCCCTGACAGGTCGCTTGGTTTATTTTCACCCTTACTTGTAACGAAGCCAAGGGTATGATCTCATTCACAGGGGTCAGAGCGTCCCTTTTCTCAAGCGAAGCGTCACAATTGGAATGGTACTTGCAGGTTTCGTTCATGTGCGGTTTTGTTCCCAATTCCATTGACTAGTGATAAAAGCGTAGCAACCACTCTGCTCCTGTAAAGAGGGTGAGCGCTTTTTGAATGGCCGCTGGCGCCTCCCCTTTGTTTTCCCCGTCTGCGCGAATCCTAAATCCACCATCATCCTCAACTCCTTCCTTCTTCTCGCCCCAGCTTTCTCATAAATTTTTGAGTCCCGCTCTTACCAATAAAGGGGTTTCTCTGTTTTGCGTGAATCTCAAGAGATTTTGCCCCATAGTGAAGATGTCAACGGCGGAGACTGCAAAGTCAGTGAGCAAGAAGGTGGAAGTCTTCGAAACGGATGAGCTGGCCGTGTCTTTGGCCGATTACGTCGCCGATCTGTCTGCTAAGTTCACTAAAGAGCGAGGAGCTTTTACGGTCGCTTTGTCTGGTGGGTCGTTGATTCATCATCTCAGGTCAGTTTACTATCGTGCCTTCGCCGTTTTAGAATGCTCCGATTTTCTTTTCCGATGGGTTTTTGTATCAATTGCAATGGATTAGCTTGGGGAGTTTGTTGATCTTAGAACATGAATAGTAGTTTCTCATACGGGGAAATTTTATGTCAGGAAACTGGTGGAACCGCCCCATGTTGATGCTATTGAATGGTCTAGGTGGCATGTGTTTTGGGTGGATGAGAGGGTAGTGCCTAAGACTCATGAAGACAGTAACTACAAGCTTGCTTATGATGGATTTCTCTCCAAGGTATATTGATCACGAATTATTGTGTCATAGAGGATTTAAGTTTTCTACTGCTAAGGAATTTACTAGTGTTATTTTTTTTCCCAAATAAAACAGCATTCTTGTTTCATTCCATTGTGGTAAGAAAGGAGGGTTAGTTTCAAGTTTAAAATGTGGGACTTTTAACTGGCCCTGCTTCTGCCATTGAAATGCGTTTCTGTTTGAGTTGAGGGCGTTGTTAAAAAATATAGCGAGTAATGCCTTCGAGGAATCGTATAGAATATTTTCCTCAAAAACCTCTTTTGAAAATATTTAAGTGAAGAAGTACCCAAGAATAAAGTATCACAGAGATGTTACTAAACTATGGGGCATCATAATCTCACTAAACACTGTTTAGAATTTCAGAAGCCTTCCTTGTTTGATTGAATAGTATTCTCGATGTTCACAAGTCTGATATGTAAATTCTCATTAGTTCTGAAGCCTTCCTTTTTGGATTGAACGCCATTCAGAGGCTATTCATATCTATAATGCTTTAAAACACTACAATTGGCTGTGACATAGTATCTTTCTGCATCCGATGCTTTATGGTCAAACTTACCAGTTAATGCTTTCTGCATGTTTCTCTTGGCAGGTTCCAATTCCTCCTGGCAATGTATATGCCATCAATGATGCCTTATCAGCTGAGGCAGCAGCTGATGATTATGAAACATGTGTTAGACACTTGGTCAAGAACAATGTGATAGCAGTATCATCAGTCAGCGGGTTTCCAAAATTTGATCTGATCTTGCTTGGTATGGGCCCTGATGGGCATGTGGCTTCTCTGTTCCCTGGGCATCCTCTCATGAAAGAGAGTAACAAATGGGTTGCCTTCATCAAAGACTCGCCAAAACCACCCCCGGAGAGAATAACTTTTACTTTTCCGGTCATTAATTCTTCAGCTTACACTGCAATTGTCTCAACCGGTGCTGGTAAAGCAGATGCAGTTCACTCTGCACTTGGAGCCACCGTGAATTCTGATAAGCTGCCTGTTGCATTGGTATCGCCTGAGGAGGAGTTAAAATGGTTATTAGATAAAGGAGCAGCTTCAAAGCTGTAGATCCCTCAGCTAAGATATGGATCCACGTGTTGTGCTTGTGTATTTGTGTTTGTACTGTTAATTTTGATGTGAGAACAATTTTGATGTCTCAGTGACAGATAACCGGTGGAAAGGATTTATCCTTGTGGCAATAAAAGAACAACTTCAAGGTCCAAACGTGTTATTGGGAAGAAACCTCGCTCTTTTTATTATTCACACCCACACTAATGACCATGTATTGTTTATTCAGTGTATCAACTATAATTCAGAATGGGAATACAAAAAAAAAAAAATGCATCCAAATTTTGCATCACAGAATAAGTTTGACGACAATGACGACAAACTGATAAATTTTGGTAAAAAGTCTACCTTACATTGAGTGAATTTTAATTATTAACATAGTGGAGGTGAACTCATATGATGATAAAATTTAATGCTATATCCAGTTCTAATTATAAGATTTTGTTTGTAGTTCTGATTCTAATTATAAGATTTTATTTGTAGTTATAAACAAAGTCTTATAATTAAGATTGGAAATAGTATATTAGATTACAACCTGTGGTGGACGGGGCTTGGAATTCTGCTGTTAGGAGATGCTGAGGGTGTGGAAACAGGGAGAAACCACCGCAAGTCTAATTTCCACGGAAAAGAGAGGGGAAGTGGGGGAAGAAAAGAGGAAAGAAAATTAAATTAACAAAAAATGACCCCCTTATTACGGCAGCGGGGGCAGGAAGGGGCATGAATTTGGAGTGGAAGTGCGTTTTGTTTCACATGCTGTTGCGTTGCCCGGTCCAGGGCCTAATGATGATTGTTGCCTAGGACTCATTGTGCGTGGTCACCTCTTTTTTTTCTTTTTTTTTCTTTTTGCCTTTTTTGTGGATAAAATGCAGTGTTGCTCTTTGGATCAATATTCGCGAATCCTAAATCCATCACACTATCAGCTCAATTCGTCCTTCTTGTTGCTCCACTTTCCACAGTAATTCCTGTTTCGAGCTTTTCCCTATAGAGGGGTTTCTCTGTTAGAGTGAATCGTAATAGGTTTTCCCTTAAGTGAAAGCTTCAATGGCTGAGACTGCAAAGTCCGAGAACAAGAAGGTGGAAGTCTTCGAAAAAGATGATCTGGCCGTGTCTTTGGCCAGTTACATCGCCGATTTGTCTAACAAGTTCACTAAGGAGAAGGGGTCTTTCACCATCGTTCTGTCTGGTGGCACCTTGATAGATAATATCCGGTGACTTTTCTATTATTTATTGAAAACTTTTTATTTTTCGTCTCATATTATAATGCTTCCATCCCCTTCAATGGGCATCATAGCAATTGCGTTGTATTAGCTTGTGGGGTTTGTTGATCGTGTGTTTTCATGTTGCAATTTCAGGAAACTGGTGGAACCTCCCCATGTTAATGGTGTTGATTGGTCTAAGTGGCATGTGTTTTGGTTGGATGAGAGGGTGGTGCCAAAGACTCATCAAGATAGTAACTACAAGCTTGCTTATGATGGATTTCTGTCCAAGGTATATTTAATTATTGATGACGAGTAATCTATCAGGCCTCGTAGGAGATTTCAGTATTTAACTTCTGAAAATAGAACAATATTATTGGACTTTGAGGTTTATTTGCAGTTGTCGCAGAAATTTTAGTTTCGTTCATCGCGGTAAGTGGTGATAAGTTCCAAGTTCAAGTTGAAAGCATGGTTAAAAACAAGTAGCATGTTAGAAACTCTGTTAAGGAAGTAGATGGAACAAGTTTTTTCTTAGAAGTTTGCCTGGAAAAATTCATACAGTGAGGAAGTGAGTAGGATACAAGTATCAGGGAGATACACTTAGGGGGTGTTTAGATACCCCAATAATCACTTTTTAGAAGCACTTTTCTACAAATTGAGATAAATTTATTTCGTATACCGTAAAAACACTTCTGAAATTATTGTTTTGATCTTACCCAAACACTCCCTTAAACTTGGGGTCATGGATGATAAGTGTACATCCTGTTTAAAAGATCAAAAGCTTTCCTTGTTGGAATGCATGCTGTCATGTTCGCAAGTTTGATGAGTAAATTCTCATATTTATTGAATGATGTAAGAGGGTAAAGATTTCAGGCAAGTTGAAGGCACTCTCAACTCTTCAAGTTATTTAGTTTATTGTTTGGAGAATGCTACAATTGACTGGACATGAACTTTAGATGAACTCGTTAAAAGTGCGACCTACTATAAATTTCATGTCGCACATAGAAGACAGATATATAAATTTACCATCTTCCCACTGTCCTGATTGGATACTCTGTGATCAGCCTCACCTGCTAGTAATTTCTTAATGTTTCTGTTGGAAGGTGCCTATTCCTCCGGGCAATGTTTATGCCATCAATGATACCTTGCCGGCGGAGGGAGCGGCTGATGATTATGAGGCATGTCTCAGGCGGTTGGTCGAGAGCAAAGTGCTGCGGTTATCATCGGCCACCGGATTTCCAAAATTTGATCTGATGCTGCTGGGCATGGGGCCTGATGGGCATGTAGCTTCTCTGTTCCCAGGGCATCCTCTTGTGAAAGAGAGTCAAAGGTGGGTCACCTTCATTAAGGACTCTCCAAAGCCTCCGCCGGAAAGAATAACCTTCACCTTCCCGGTGATCAATTCTTCTGATTACATTGCAATGGTGGTGACTTCCACTGGTGCTGGTGAAGAAAATGCAGTTCATGCTGCACTGGGAGGTTCTGAGAATTCTGATAAGCTGCCTGTTGAAATGGTGTCACCTGAGGTTGAGCTAAAATGGTTTTTAGACAAAGAAGCAGCTTCAAAGCTGTAGATGCCTCGGCTAGGCAGTGAGTCTATATTGTGGGTCTGTAATGTTCATTCTGATCTGAGAACAAGAAGGCCACTGCTGAATATTGACATCTCAGTTTTAGATTATCGTATCATCCTTATGGCTGCAATAAGAGGACAGATAATTTGAGTGCTTAATGAAGTTTATGTGTTTAAAAAACCTCATTACGCTTCGGTCCCCAGTTTTTTGCTTTCTTTTTTTTTTTTTAAACTACTTTATTGTATATGAGTGGTCCCATCACTTAGTTGGGCAACCCGTCTAGCTTGATCAACCGATCCGGTCAGGCTGGTATGGTTCTTTGCTCCGACAATTTTCCACCTGGACCGGCTTGGGCTGGGTCAGGCCAGGTTGTCCGGGTTTCAAGATTCTGATGTTCGCTTGTGCCGTAGTGGTGGCGGTGATGATGATCACGCTAGTTCGTTAGCTTACCACGTAGCCTTTTGATCGTGAATCAAGACCGTCCATTGAGTGTGTTGTCCGTTTGCTGAATGGGCTGGGTTGCTTTTAAGGTTTTAAAAATGGGCTGGGTTCTTCTAATCCCCACCCCAGCACACTTGTCCGGATCTGTTTTGCCTGTTGACAATATTTGTGCATCCCGCGAGGCAAATTCAAATCTCAAAAAATATACTTGTTAGAAGAGATGAAAATTTTTTATGCTTTAAAACATTGAAAAACGAAACTTTGATCAAGTAAAAAAAAATAATAATTTTTAGGGAAATTGCAATGAGGTCTTATGTAAGAAACATATTTACAAAAACATTGGGATCTTTTTGTTAATATGTTCCCATTATGGAATCATATTGCATTTCTTTCTAATTTCTTTTGCTAAGGATGGCTCTGTGCATTTGTCTCGCCTTACGATTTCTCCTTTGTTTATCAAAATAATTGTGACTAATAAATATGTATAAGAATTTATTTATACAAATTTAAAATACAAAGATCATATATCAATTAATATAATGAACATTAATTTTGAAATAAAAATCATGTATGAGAATCAATCTATAGATATCTATTAATTTTATAATATTAAAAGAGCCCGTACCGTGGATTTTTGGATTGAACACAATGTCTATTTTATTTTTAGCCATTGTTCATGCATGAGACGATAAGAAAATCCACACAAAAATATTTTTTGAATTTCAAAATTATAAATCAGAAATTTCTTAAAAAATGTGTTTCTGTTTACCTTTTAAATATATTTAATTTTTATTAAAGTGGAGTAAACAAGACTAGTTTGAAATCTTAAAATTCAATAGTTTTTTTTTTTGTTGAGATTTTCCTTCTCTGATCAAAACTTAAATAAAATAAAATATAACAATATAATATAATAAAAAAAATCTCGTGCTATACTATACTCTTGAAAGTGAGTAAAAATGATAATTAAATAATAACAACATGACGAACATTGTTTTTGAAAAAATGAAAATTCTTTTCTTCTTCCGTAAACAAACGGACCACCCGGATGGGTCAACTCTCCGTCCATATCTCTTTCGCATGACCCATTCAGTTGGCTAACCTATGAATAAATGAGCATCCAGTGACGTGAGGTCTTGGACTTATCCCATTGAAAATTCTTCAAGAAGCAGACATATTAGCCATTTACACTCATAAATTAATTAATTAATCCACCTTATCTAACTTGATTTTCTCACCCAAAAAAACGTAATTAGGCATAGAAACCTAAACATCCAGATCTGTTCTAGGAGGAAACCTTGGTTTGTTGTGGAAGATGGACCTTTGGACCTTAACAGCCACTCCAAGAACATTCACTTACAACTTGGTCTTTGTTAATGACACTACTTAGTATGAGCACATGGACATGGACATTGAAATTTTGGCTTCTCTAATCTCACAGTACTCCGTTTGGTGTGTTCCCTGAGGTTTTAATAATATGGCTTTGGCTTTTGAACCCTTTTGGTTCTTTCCACGTAAGGTATTCCTTGGTATGTCATGTAGACCCTCCATCCATTTCCTCAGACATAAACGTACGTTAATGCTCTGTCCAGTAACATAATTATCTCACGTTTTAGAGCGCAACCTGGGAAAAAGCAAAATATAGCATGAGTAAATTAAAATGAAATCAAGAAACAAATCCCTTATCGTAATGAGTATAGAAATAAGTAGGAGAAAAGAAGCTGGGCAGGGAGGGAGAAAGTGAGTTGAAAATGAAAAGCAGAATTGAGCGGCCAAGACACAATAATTATAAAAGAATTATGAAGGGGCGTGCTTTAAGAGTGCAAGTTGTTAAGGGTGGAGGGGCAAAACTTACAGCACACCCTTTTGAAAATGGTGGGTATTGTCACTGTCCCATATAACACAAGACCCCCCTTCTCTTTATCTTCTGGAATCTCTCTTTTATCATTGTGGTTTCCATCAAAAGAAGAGCACCATAGCGCATAAAGCAACCAAGCTTCCCCATATTAATTGCTACGTGCATTTAATTTTTCTTTAACAAGTACAGGTATCTTTTTATTAAAAATCATTCTATTTAAAATATTATCATGTATTAAATATGAATATTTTTTTAATAAAAATTTTAACTTTGATCCGTTACGTTAAGAGAAACTTGTCCATTCTACTAATTAATGAGCGTTTAATTTAACACAACTACATACTGATTAATTCGGCTACTTTCTCAAGCAAACCGGTACCCTGTGACTTTTCTTCTAGTATCACTGCCGCTTCACGTAACATATAATTGAAGTACGTACGTTTTCAGGACGCTCTATATATTGTATTTTCATATTAATATTGCGTCCCCAAAAAAAGCCAAACAAATTAATTCACCATGCATGCAAAACTTGCGTTCGTGATCACCTTATTAATTAATTTCCTGAGCTTGCGAATTTAATAGCTGAAAAAAAGGCCGGAAGGATTGGTAAAAAAGAAATAGTGAGAAAATCCCGCTTCGTGATTAAATATTAAGACATTGATTTTCCGCACCATTCGAAGTTTCTAACTCCCCTAATTAAGCTACCCTGTCCACATGCTTGCCCTAGACACGGAAGGACACATGCATGAAGCGTCTCAAATCTCAATTCTCAGATTCCTAAGCAACACCAAACGTATATTTATAACGTTAAATATTTTAAAATTTAAAAGACAACATATTATCTTCTCCCGCATGCCAATAATCCATTTGGCACAAAACCGGCATCCTCACTCTTGCGCCTTTTGATTCTTTCTTTCTTGTTTAATTTTTAAAATCATTTGAAATTTAAAGAAAAAATTGGTAAAATGTTTATATTTTCACATCTTATTGACAAGAAAAATTCGATATGTTTATACGTATAAAAAATATCGATACACAAAAATTTTCAAATAGCGTATTTTATTACCTTTTTTTTCAAATTTCTATGGTTTAAATTAGTTACTTGTAATAAATATGTGTTCTCTTTTCTAAAATATCATTGCTAATTATATATATTAACTAGAACTACCATTTGATGAAACATTTAATATGTGCAACTACTACAAGGACTATCTTAAAAAAAAATAAATAAATATAAGAGACAAAATAGATTGAAATCTTATATTTAAAATTAAATTAAAAGTTAAACTAGTTTTATATTAAAAACTAAAAATAATATATAGTAAAATTGATCTAAAAATTCTTTTTTTTTTTTTTTTTGGTGGTGGGATGAGTGTGTGGCCTGGCTAGGGAAGGCTCCTGTTAATAATGGCAAGGCCACTTTCTGTAAACATGGGATTTAGACTCCGAGATTTGCAAATGGAAAAAGCAATGGGATGGTGGATCTAAAGCTGGCTTCATCATCACAAGTTGGAAAGATTCAGGTCAACCTAATAATATAGCCTGATTTCCCTTTTATTATTATTAATTACTGATAAAAAATATGTAATTTTAAAATATCATGGACTTGATTAAAATTATAAAGCCTGTCCATGTCAATAACAAATTAACGTTCTCTATTGCCCACGGTCGTTTCTCAAGGCGGCAATTAAGGATGACCATCCGACAAGCTCAACGAATGTGGCCTTCAATGTTCTCTTTCACACCTCTTTGTTCATATTTAATGGAAAATAATCAAATAAATTAAATAAAAACATTTAGACACCCTATATCGCATCTCACTCGCCTGTAGAATTTTGGTCCCCACTGTGTTTCTCTTTAGAGATTATACTTGATTCCTTAAAGTTATTTTCTTCGTGTATTAAAAAAAATTCTCATTGGGCAAATATATAATATCGATAAATAATACTAACAGAGGTGATATCAAAATAATAATGAATGCTGTAAACAAATTACTTCCATTTTTTTGGGGGGCAAACATGCTTCCATTTTTATTCCCATTCTAGATGAAAAGATATGACTGTACCTACATTAAAAAGAGTAGTATAAACCAAATAATTAACTTACTTTTCTGGTTTTATTTATAAATCATTTTTATATTTTTCACTCACACCACGGAAAACCTCAAATTTCATTGACTTTCATTTAAAATTCATAATTTTTCAACTTATCCCTATTTAATATATATTATACCTTATGTAAACAAAGTTATCACAATAATAAATAAAAGGTAAAATTATATCTATACAAAAATTTTTTCAGTATCTTATAAATAGGACCAGAAAATATCTTCTCTCCCTACTTATAAATAAGACAAGAGGAGTATATATTTCTCTCTCTCTTTTTTTTTCCATCCAACGGACATTTATAAATAAAATTTTTCTAAACATAAAAATAATAGGAGTGGACTTTACTTTTCTCAGCAAGATCTTTTAGCGTTTATCTGCACCGGTGTCTAGATAATCTTGGTTTTATTATTTCTTTTTCTTCATTAGCATGCAATTTTATCTCTTTATATATCATTTTATTGTTTAACTTTTTTATTCCCCCCTTCTCCTTCTTTTACTTTGCTTGGTGCTTTGGACATCCAAAGTGAAATACTCCGCCCCCATCCATGTTGACTGGTGTTTGTTTGGGGATTTGATCTTCTTTCTTCACGCGAAAGTCGAGGTTACTTTAGATGACAGTCACTACTACTGAGGACCAACTTTTAATTTTACTTTGATTAAAGTAACAAAAATATATATATTTGGATTACATAATTCATATTATACAGAATTATTATAGTTATGGTGATTCTTTTATAAGTCCCCACAGTATATGAGAAAGTATGCTTGACTCCATCTACATTTA